AGAGTAGAGAGAGAGAGAGACGAGGAGAGAGAGCGATAGAGAGAGAGAAAGAGAGATGAGAAAAGAGAGATGAGCGAGGAAAACGAGAGACGAGGAAGAAAGAAGAAGTTGGAGGGGAGACAAGAGAGAGAGAGACGCGACATGGGCAGACGAGAATAGAAAGAAGACGAGATGGGATGAGAGAGGACTAGAGAGAAGAGAGAACGGAGGAGGAAGTGATGAAGGGACAGAGAGATGTGAGAGAGAGAGATGAAGAAGTAGAGAAGAGAGGAGAGATAGAAGAGAGAGAAATTTAGAGAGAGAGAAAATAGAAGAGGAAGAGAATAGAGAGGGAGATGGAGAGACAAAATAACGACTATCGGAGAGAGCGAGAGATAAATAGTAATGAGGGAGAGAGTGAGAAAATGAGAGACAGAGAGAAGAGAAAATAGAGACGATACAAGATAAGAGAGACGGAGAGAAATAGAGGAGAGAGAGACGAGCGAGAGACAGGAGAGGAAATAGACGAGAGAAATAGAGGGAAATAGAGCGAGGAGAGCCGAGAAATAAGAGAGGCGAAATAGGAGAAGATGAGGGGAGAGAAATAGACCCACGAGAAAGAGAACGAGAGAGACAAAGAAGAGGGAAGAGACGAGGAGAAAGGAGAGAAAGAGAGAAGAGAGAGAGAAGAGAGAAGAGAGAGGAAAGAAGAGAGAATGAGCAGAGAGAGAGAGAGAGAGAGAGAGAGGAGAGGAGAGAGAGACGAGAGAGAGAGGAGAAGAGAGACGAGAGAAAGAGAAAGATGAGAAGAAATAGAGGAGAGCAGAGGAGAGAGAGAGGAGAGAGGAGAGAGAGAGAGAAAGAGACAGTAAACACGACAAGAGACAGAGACGAGAGAGAGGAGAGAGAGACGACGAAGAGAGGAGAATGATGGAGAGAAGAGATGAGAACTAAAGGCGAAGAGAGAACTCGGCAAAATGACAGGAATCCGAGAGGGAGAGAGAAAACTAAAGGGAGAAGAGAGGAGAACTAAAGGGAGAGAGGAAGAGAGAACTAAAGGGAGATAGAGAGAGAGAACTTAAAAGGGAGAGAGAAGAGGACGTAAAGAGGATGAGGAGAGAGAGAGAACTAAAGGGGATGGGAGAGGGGGAGAGGGAAGGGAGAGGAGAGTAGAGAGAGAGGAGAGAAGGAGAGGGGCAGAGAGAAGGGAGAGGAGAGAAGAGAGAGCGAGAAAGAGCGACGGATGACCGAATGAAGAGAGAGAGAGAGGAAGGGAGGAGTGGGGAGATGGGGAGAGGCGGAGAGGAGAGGAGAGGGAGAGGAGACGCGGAGTGAGAGAGGAGAGGATAAGAGAGAGATGAGAGAGAGAGGAAGAAGAGAGAGAAAGAGAGAGAAGAAGAGGAGGGAGGAAGAGAGAAGAGAGAGGGAGCCGGGGTGAGAGAGGAGGGAGAGAGAGAGGAGACGCCAGGAGAGGAGGAGATGGGATTGGAGGAGAGACGAGGAGGACGGAGATGAGAGAGGGAGAAGAGAGAGAGAGAGAGAGAGAGAGAGAGAGAGAGAGAGGGGACGAGAAGAGGGAGGAGAGGGAGACGAAGAGAGAGCAAAATATAGAGAAGAGAGAGAGAGAGGCAAATACGAGAGAGCAGAGAGAGAGGCAAATACGAGACGAGAGGAGAGAGAGGGCAATAGAGGAGAGAGGAGAGAGGCAAATAGAGAAGAAGAGAAGAGGCTAAATAGAAGAGGAGACGAGAGGAGAGAGGCAAAATAGAGGAGAGAGAGAGAGGCAAGATAGGAGAGAGAGAGAGAAGCGCAAATAGAGAGAGAGAGAGAGAGGCAAATAGAGAGAGAGAGAGGCAATAGAGAGAGAAGAGAGAGAGGCAAATGAAGAGAGAAGAGAGGAGAGCAGAAATAGGAGAGAGAGGAGAGAGAGGCCAAATAGAGAGGCAGAAGAGAGAGAGGCCAAAGAGAGAGAGAGGCCAAAGGAGAGCAAAGAGAGAGAGAGAAAGAGAGAAGAGAGAGAAGAGAGAGAGAGAGAGAGAGAGAGGAGAGAGAAGAGAGAGAGAGAGAGAGACACCTCACACACACACACCACACACATACATACATACATCTACATACATACATACATACATTTACATTTACTACATAGCATACATACAACATACATAATACCATACAACATACAGTTACATAACATACTACATACATACATGTACAATACATACATACATACATACATACATACAACATACACATACATACATACATACATACATACAACATACATACATACATCATACATACATACCATACATACATACATACATACAAATACATACATACATACATACATACATACACATACCACATACACATAACACAATGCATACACAACACATACACATACACATACACATAACCGCACACGCCACACGCACACCGCACACGCACCGCACAGCAAACACACACACACACACACAACACACACACACACACGACACACACACCACACACACCACACACACACACACACACCACAACACACGTCTACACAGCTCCTGATAAACACTAAATATCAGCTGTTGTATTGCTCTCTCAGCACTGGCTACCTTATCACCTGTACATGAATGTACGCTGAAGAGCCAGGTGCAATCACTTGACCTGACATTGTCAAGGTTCGCTTGTATTAGCGAAAGTAAAGAACAGAGGCGGTACCTGAACGTTGTGGCGGGTCTGCTAACACCTGGCCTGCCCGCCTCCCCACCCCCCATCGCTGCCTAAACAACGCTCGCCAGGAAACAACCGTCGCACCACTTCAATCTCATTATCACCCTTTCTTGCTCTCCCTTCCACTGCTTGCTGTATTTCCTTTTATTTCTCTCCTCCCCACTCTCTTACTGGTACTGCCCCAGCTTCTGGAGGATCTGCAGGGAGAACGCAACCCTGGGTGAATCAACACCGTCCAGCCTCCTGATTGTATGACAGTACCCCCTCCCCCACCCACATCATCACCTCTTCACTCGCGACTATGCCAAGAGATGTGAGCCACCACCGCCTCATCACGCGACCCCCGGGTCTCCCTGGATACCAGCCGGGTAGATGGTGTGCTGTTTGCGGCAAAACCACTTCCAACAGGACCATCATCGACTGTACATCTGGCGATTGCCCCAATACCTCACATACCACCTGTCTTGGTGACAATATTACGTTTGACTGCTGCGAGGTTTCCACTCTGCGCACAGCTCAGGGAATCACCTCCCCGGTGGTTTACCAGGCGGCCGCGACCGAGGAGGAGGGCACTGCTTCCGATGCTGAACCTTCTGATGTGCCCGCAGCAGACGACGATGATGATCTCGAAGATCTTTTGCAATTAGACTCAAGAGAACTAGTTGAGAACATCCGGCAGCTGAGAAAAGAACTAAAGAGGAAGAAAAACATCTTAAGTTTCTTCGAAGCCACATCTCAAACACTGGCCGAGAAAAGGGACGCTGTTGTCACCGTCCTGGATCTCATTGACAATATCTGTGCTACAAGATCTAGCGCAGAGGAACTTGACACAAGGTCCATCGCTGCCACCGCCAAGCCTCACAAAATAGACGAGGAGTGGGATAGACAAGTAGCCTCCAGTGAGGTGACAGCAAACTGGTGGAAATCAGGGAAACCTCGTCCACTTCAGTCTACCGTTACCACCACCACCATCAACTCGTCTAGCCCTAGCCACTCACACCCACCGCAAACTACTAAGGGCCCGTACACGGCGACTGAGACTGTCGCAGCGCCTAAAAATTATCGCAACACCAGGATCACAGAGAATTACAAAAATAACAAAACGCATACCAGGCACTCTAACAAATCCCTATCAGGAAACACCGTTACACCCCGACCCTCGCCACGTAACCAGCCAAGAGACTACTGCAATACCTGTGGGCGTAGCGGACATACAGAGAACAACTGTCTGAGGAGGAATAATTGCACCTACTGTCTGCGAGTCGGACACACTGCCCAGGAGTGTCGCACCCGCATTGCGCAGGAGAGAGAGGAAAACTTCTTGCGCAAAATATCAACTGAGCAAAACAACGCCTTACTCGTTCAGAGTCTCAGTCGACTCCTTCCTCCTGCTCCTCCTGCCCCTGGTCCTGCCTTACCCCAGCCTCTCACCGGTAACTGGGCTCCAGGACATCAGACATACGCACCACACCCACAACCGCTCTACCCAGCCCACGCCCACCCATACACTCTCCAGCCTCTTAACCCCATTCACGCAGCCTGGGGTCATGCCCGACCGTAAATCTCGAGACCCAACTAACCATCATATCTGCCAATGTCCGGGGACTTCTTACGAACATCGGGGACCTCGTGAACAGTCACGTGATTCCTCGCACCCCGGACATCGTTGCAACAGTTGAAACTTTTATGAACGAGTCAGTCCCTGACAACTTTGGGCACATGAAAGGATACACGAGGTGGCATCGACGCGACAGGACACACGGGACCTTTGGTGGTGTTGCTCTCTTTTCACAAGAGCCTGTCGGTCCAACCACTTGATGTCGTTCTCCCAAGTCACCTGGAGATTATGTTCTTCAAGATATGGGCTCAACACCAGACAGTCTTGCTGTGTGTATGTTACCGCCCACAATGGCAGGGTAGTGAGCCCATTGTGTTCCTGCAAACTCACCTTGATGAGCTGCTGCAGCTACACACTTGCAACCATGTTGTCATCGTTGGGGACATGAACCAACACCTGGTTGCAAGATCCTTCGAAGAACTCCTCACAGTCCATGGCCTCTTCAATCACGTTGACTTCCCCACCCACATCTCCGGCTCATCTCTTGATCCTGTCGTCAGTGACCTACCGGACAGCGTCGTCACCTGCTCTCCACTCAGTGCCGTGGGATCGTCAGATCACATGGCTGTTCTGACTCTGATTCAGGTCACACCTCAGAGGGATGCTGCCGTTACACGCACTAACTGGCTGTGGGGCAAAGCAGACTGGAAAGGTCTCTGCAACGCACTACAACAAACGCCCTGGAACAGCATCCTCATAGGAGAAGTCAACAATCAAGTGCACACACTCACACACACTCTGCTCAAGCACCAAGAACAACACGTCCCCTGCCACTCCTACACTGTCAAGCCCCTCGACCAGCCCTGGTTTGGTTACCAGTGTAGAATGGCAGCTGATGAAAAGAGTCGTGCCTGGCGACTCTACTCACGCTCTTCTACCCACGCTAACAAGGAGCGCTATAGACGCGCTTGTGCAGCCATGCGACAAGTTCAGCAATGGGCTCAACGACGCTGGCAAGAAGATCTTAAAGCCAAACTCAGGGGTCGTTCAGTGGGTAGCAAGACCTGGTGGACCACACTCAAGCAGCATCAAGGCCTGGCACCAGATGATGATGTACCACCACTACAAAAGCCTGATGGTACAGTGGCCACCAAAAATAAGGACAAGGCTGAGATACTCGCATCTTTTTTCTCTAACAAGATGTCAGTACCTGACCCTGAGCGCTCGACTCCATATGTGCCAATCCTCACAAATGCGAGCACTTCTACCATCACTATCACTACCGAGGATGTGCGGCAACGACTGTCACAAGTTGACACTAACAAGGCTTTGGGCCCAGACAATATAAGCCCTCACATTCTTAAGCGGTGTGCCTCTCAGCTGGCAACGCCCCTTACCTCCATCTTCCAGCAATGCATCATCACTGGAGTGTGGCCCACTCTCTGGAAGGGCGCGAGGACTGATCCCAAGAACTATAGGCCTATCTCCCTTCTCTCAGTTCTTGGTAAAGTACTTGAAGCCATCATAGCAGACAAAATATCATGCTTTCTCACCTCACACCATCTCCTCAATAACAAACAGTTTGGCTTCCGAATAAACAGGTCAGCTGCAGACCTGCTGCTTCAACTATCCACCGCCTGCCAAAAGTCCCTAGATCAAGGAAAGGACACCTTCATCATTGCTCTCGACATAGCAGGAGCATTTGACAGGGTGTGGCATCGCGGCCTCATCACCAAGTAAACAGCTTGGGTATCCGCGGTCATTTGCTCCATCTGCTACAAGACTACCTGCAGGGCAGATTCCTCAGAGTGGTCATGAACGGGCAGACATTTGATGAACATTCCATCCACGCCAGTGTACCACAGGGTAGCGTTCTCGGCCCTCTCCTCTGGAATGTCTTTTTTAACGACTTGCTGCAGCTCATTCCAGAGGCATATGCATACGCCGATGACTGCACCCTGACATTCCCCTGCGACAGTAGTGACCACCGCGCGACTGTCGCACATATCAACCAGGTCCTACAAACCATCGTCGTATGGGGGCGCCGATGGCAAGTGGATCTCGCTCCCGAGAAGACGCAGGTAATGCTGGTCTCCCGAAGACACAGTCCCCTCGACACTCCCATGCCTACTATTTTGCTTGATGGGAGGGCGCTGCCCCTGCAGGCTTCCATCTCCATACTGGGCGTGGAAATGAACAGTGCCCTGACCTTCACTGGCCACATCAAGACCATAGCCAGGAAAGCCGCCTGGAAACTTAATTGTGTCCGGCGGATAGCACATCTCCTCGATTCCCAGGGAATCTGCACCTTATATGCAGCTCAAGTCCGCTCCCTCATGGAGTATGCCCCTCTCACCTGGTCATCCTGCCCCCCTTCATATTTAGGCCTTCTTGACAAGATTCAGCAACGGGCACAACGCTTGATATGTCTGAAGGCCCCGCCAGACCAGTCGTCTCCCCTCATGCAGCCCCTACAGCAACGTCGTGATGTGGCAGGTCTGTGTGTCATCTACAAGACTCACAAGCAGAGCGCCCCGCACCTGACTGCACTCCGCCAGCCCTGGGCTCAACCACACGGCCACGCCACCCGCGCTGCCGCCACCGGGGATGACCAACTCGTCGTCCCTTTTGCCAGGACGGAGACCTTCCTCCGCTCCTTCCTTCCGCGCTACACACGAATGTGGAACCACCTAGTACAGCAGACTCAGCTTCACCGCACCACCTCATTACACACCTTTAAGTCTGCTGTAAATGCTTGGATTAAACAACCATAAAATGTAAAAAGATTTGTAGAATGGATATACGTGTATGCGTATTTGGGTATTTGGGATGTCTTAGTTTCAATTAGTGAATTTTCATGTCAAAGATAGTTCTCAGTAGTCCTACTGAAACTCCTGACTGAGAAATGTATAAAAAGAAATCAAAGTAAAAAAAAAAAAAAAAAAAAAAAAAAAGAGAGAGAGAGAGAGAGAGAGAGAGAGAGAGAGAGAGAGAGAGAGAGAGAGAGAGAGAGAGAGAGAGAGAGAGAGAGAGAGAGAGAGAGAAAGGGTAGGTATCTACTACTGACATAATTAACATGGAGATGCATCAATTCGTATTTAGACACAAAGTAATTTCATTGTTGAGAAGCATTGTCAAGAAAATATCTTTTACTGGTATGTTATGTATTTAACTGTTTTTCTTTATTGATATATTATCTAGCTTCCCTTGTTTACACCATGTCTTACTGACCACTT